AAATGAAATATGAAGCATACATTTAAAAATATTGGGGGAGGGGGGTGCCCTTTAAAGTCAAGTCAAGTCAAGTCACATTTATTTATATAGCGCTTTTCACAATACAGATTGTATCAAAGCAGCTTCCAGGGCCGGCCCGAGGCATAAGCGAACTAAGCGGCTGCTTGGGGCCCCCTGGCCACCAGGGGGCCCCCTAATCGAGGTTATTTTTTATTTTTATTTTTTTAGATGACTTAAACAAGTGACATAAATCAATGAATGAATGAATATGACTGAATGAATAGTTCAAGACAACAAAATTCTGATTTAATGGTCAATATACCTGCCTACAAGTTACAACTGCTGCTCTGTCTGCCAGCGTTTAAGTCATACGCATAATCTTCTAGACACCTCGCGCGTGCATAGACAATTCGTGCGCAACTGCGCCTAGTCACGGTATCGGTTTAAGTTGGAGAAAATAGCCCGCAGGAGAACTTATCCTTCAAGGTGTAAGGGTAGCAGTTTGAATAAATAATAAACATAGCAGTTTGAACTCTTCTCCACTTTATTATACCACACATCAGATCTCCAAACACCCGCGACACTCCAGTAGCCTAGCAAGTGCGCACGACCCATCTACGGCAAGCCCCGAGGGGAAAAATACATTGCATACACACATACAACGAGCGCCAGAACATCATAACCGGTATTATAGTAACAGACTGTGTTGATTATGTCATGTACTATATAACAAAGTCTGTTACAATAATAATAATAACAATAATAAAGATTTTGAGGATAGTTACTCTGTATTGAGACAGTTGAGAAATAGGCTAGTAATATTTTTAGTTTTCAACAATAGCTGAGACCCAGAAAGTTTTTTTTTTTTTAATTTAGATTTTTTTTTCATGTCATCATCATTGTTTAGAGCATAATAAACAAATGGTAAAAAAAAAAAAAAACCTTTACGAAAAATTATATTTTATTCATATGTAATACTTTGTCCTCTGTAGTGGACACCAGGACTCAGTTGTTAAAATTAAATGACATACAATGTGTAGGCAAAAACAATGGGATTTTTTTTCCAATCACCAATACATTTTGGGGTTTCAGGATTTTTTTTAACTAAAATTTGTATAAAGATGATTATCAACTATGTTATGAAAGATATAATGGAATTAATTGATACACCAATTTACTTTATGCAATATATGGGTAAAATTGGCATAAATTAATATTCCCATTCAATGCAAAGTATCTATACACTGTATCTAATTTGCACATTAATGTGTTCTTGGAGCAACATTTAATGAGGAAAGAAGTGTAAGCATTGGCGTAATAATAAGCAACATTTTAATAATAATATCTAATATGTCATAAGAATATTGACGTATAATTTATTTACATATTCACTTGTTATGTCTCCCAGAATGCCTGATAAACATGATTTATGTCCTGATGTTCTCTACAGTGGACATGAATGAAATCAATGCCCTGTAACGGAAAGTCATTTTTTTCATTTGAAACCCCATAACATTTTCATGAGATGGTGGTTGATGAAATACAATTTGAAAAGTAGTTAGATTTAAATTATAATTACAATATATTACCATATTTCAATAAGAGTGCTACATTTGATCACTAAATTAATGTTAGACATTTTTAAAGACCAAGGAGAAGTTGTTTTCATGGTGAAACCTCCAAACATTTGGTATCTCTGTATTGCCCTGAATGTGCTCTTTACAGGACATCCAGAAAAAAAATGTGACATGCATGGTGTCAGAGAAATACAATAAAATATAATGTCCACTACAGTGGACAAAAGTCTATTCCTGGGTCCCAGGAGGATAGGCCAAAGTATCATTGCTCTTACGTTTCTAATTTCTCAGTTTTGTCATAATTTTAGCAAATAATTTATTGTATATGTTTTGAGACAGTTTTAAGACTGTTTTCAAACTTTTTTATTTAAGTAGGCATCTATTTTTTTATTAATACATAACCTCAGTGTATTCATTTATAATGTATCATTTTTGCGTGACATTTATGTCAATAATCGTCAAACACAGGTGACTCCGCGTCGTGGGAGGGGCCCCCAAATCAAATTCTGCTTAGGGCCCCCAAAAGGCTCAAGCCGGCGCTGGCAGCTTCACAGTGATAACATGTAAGTAGCACAACACAGATCAACAACATTGCTAAACACTAAATAAATAACCCCAACTGAGCAAGCTCAAAGCAAGCCAAAAGCAAGGCGACAGTGGCAAGGAACCAAACTCCATCAGATTGGATGGAGAAAAAACCTTGGGAGAACCCAGGCTCAGTCGGGGGCCAGTTCTCCTCTGGCTTACAATCATATTGTTTAAATATAAATATTAAATATAAATATTGTTTATGAATCAAACGGCGCCATAACATATCGCAGGCGTTGAGTCGTCTCATCACAGGCGTTGAGTCGTCTCATCACAGGCGTTGGGGCATCCGAAATCCCCGTGAGAGGCTGGACACAAAACTGGACCTGACGAACGCCATTTTTCTCGGGACAAGCGTCCCGAGATAACAGCAGAAAGGCAGATGGGAAATAATTAGCATAGCTGATGTTCATAATAATTTCCGTTATAACTCACAAACTCTCCGTAACCCGAACTCTCCGCAACCCAACCATACGCGCCGACCCGTTTGTCTAAGAGGCTGTCGAGCCCCACTGGTGCGTTAAGCAGTTTCAGTGGCAAACGGTTCCGTATGGCATAACAGAGGACTAGAAGGTAAGCATTATGTGAATGCTTGACTAAAGAGATGCGTCTTTAATCTAGTTTTAAACTGTGTCAGCGAGTCAGAGTCTCGGACCGTATCGGGAAGGCCATTCCAGAGTTTTGGAGCTAAATGCGAGAACGCCCTCCCTCCTTTACTGGACTTCGATATCCTAGGAATGACCAGAAGCCTTGAATTTAGTGATCTTAAGGAACGCGGATTGTAGGGCGAAAGAAGGTCCGTTAAGTACATAGGTGCTAAACCAACACTATCTCACGACCAATTCGTACGAATTCGACGCATGATTAAAAAGTGGCTAATTCGTACTAATTCGTACGACCTCACTCGTACTAATTCGTACATTTGTCTAAACCCACGTGATGGTTATGTTTAGGGGCGGGGTAAGGGGTAGGTCATTCGTACGAATTCATACGAATTGGCCAATTCGTAAAATATGTACGATTTAGCAAAATCGTATTAATTCGTACGAGTGAGGTCGTATGAATTGTAACGAATTAGCCACTTTTTAATCATTCGTCGAATTCGTACGACTTGGTCGTGAGATCGGGTTGGTAATACCGGTAGTCAACAACACTGACAGTAATGCAGCGCAATATGAAAGAGTTCGTCTTAGGTTTAACAACCTATGAAACTAATAATGAACAATAAACTAAAACGACATAAGCCATTTTTTTAAATAAATAATGTGAAACCTTATTGTAAAGTGTTACTGGAAATACAACTGGAAAATTTGCGATATATGTCTCGAACAAGGGATTAGGGACTGTCCAAGGTGCTGAAATAATAATAATAATTAAAAAAAAAAAAAAAAACAACAACAGTGAACGTGAAGCCGAGAGTTGTTTTTATTTTCTTGTTACAAAAACTCTAAAACACCGTAAAGTGTTACTGGAAATACAACTGGAAAATTTGCGATATATGTCTCGAACAAGGGATTAGGGACTGTCCAAGGTGCTGAAATAATAATAATAATAATTAAAAAAAAAAAAAACAACAACAGTGAACGTGAAGCCGAGAGTTGTTTTTATTTTCTTGTTACAAAAACACTTCTAAAACACCTGCAGACAGAAACAATCTCGTTTAAATAGCAGATCACACGTCGAGGAGGCATGTTTTGCTGCAAAACCGGGAGTTTCTCATGCGCATTTTCCGTGACCACAAAGCGCACGTTAAGAACGCGAGCTTTTAGATTTTATTTATTTGCAAATATAACATTTAAAATACAACTTTACAAATCCATTAACGAAAAACAAAAACAAAACTGTGCGGGAGAAAGTGAGAAGACCATGAGGTCTTATAAAACCACTTCCCCAAAATCTCATTAAAATGGACATAAAATGACATGATCAAGCAAGACAATACAATCAATATATCAATCATGTCAATACAACAAATTAACAAAATAAACTTAATTATATGTTAACATTTTTTTTTCAGCTCTCTTTTAAAAGTGTTTACCCACCCAGCAAAAACTCGTTGAAAAGACGTTGAAAAGACGACATTGCTAGACGTCTAAACTACGTTAAAATGTGGTTGAAAAGTGAAAGGTGAAAAGCCGTCTTTTTCAGGTCGTTGAAAAGACGTCTTTTTTGGGTCGTTGAAAAGACGTCTTTTTCTGGTAGTTTTAGCCTATAAAAGGACGTCCCATTTACGTTTAAATTAGGTTGTAGCCTACAGTGAAAGTTGAAAAGACACCTTTTTTAGGCATAATTTTCATGAATTCATGATTATAGTGAATATTCCTAATTACTGTCAAAATAAGACAATTCACAAAAGTTTATCAAAACATTTATTGACACATAAAATACATCTTTCAAGTAAAAAACACTTTCCTGATCACGCATCAAGCCTGCATTTGATCAAACATAGCCTAAACACTGTACTAATGTGAAATATTACCACAATAAAAATAACTTCTCTATAAATTTATAAATAAATATACATGTAAATATATAGTAAAGTGTAATTTATTCCTGTGATGCCCAAGCTGAATTTTCAGCATCATTACTCCAGTCTTCAGTGCCACAAGATCATTCAGAAATCATTCTAATATGGTGATTTGATTCTCAAGAAACATTTATGATTATTATCAGTTGTACTGCTTCATGTTTTTTTTTTTTGGAAAATGATTCAGCTTTCAGTATTCTTTGAAAATAACTTTCAAAAGAGCAGCATTTATTTAAAACAATTTTTTAAAAACAATTTAAAAGACTAACTGTGACTTGATCAAATGAATGCATATTTTCTGTATAAACATCATTTTATCATTTATTGTTATAAACATCAAAACAATAAATCTTTAAAACATTGAAAATGTTTATAAAACAGACTTACATAAACATACTTACTCTCATGTCGCTAAAAACCCATAAGACTTTTGAATATATTTTTAACAGATGCCTTGTGTGTGCAAAAAACAAAACAAAATTCTGTATCGCCGATACAGGTTGCACCAATGACTGACTCCGGGTAACTGGCCAAATCGTGACGTAGGTGCAAACCCTCTATTGATTATTTTTATAATGTCTTACCTTTCTGAAGCATGAAAGTGGTAGTAGCATAAACTGTGAAATTGAGGGACAGAAAGCTCTCAGATTTCATTAAAAATATCTTTCAAAGATGAACGAAAGTCTTACAGGTTTGCAACGACATGAAGGTGAATGACGAACACTTTTGGTTAAATTTTACACATTAAATCAGTTCCCTCAGGGGCACCAATAGATATCTTCCTGATCTCCGATCTTCTGGTTCTTCTGCTCCTTCTGCTCCTTCCACCATCCCAACCCCGGATTATTAAGCCACGACTGAAGTTTTTACTTTAAATGCTTTAGCCTGGTGAGAAAGAAAACAATAACCAAAATGTACATTTAAAAAAAACAAAAAACAATGGCTGTCCGAAACGTAAAGTATACACTTGAGTTTTTTCTATACATATACGTGCAAGATTTCAGTCACAGATAAATTGTAAATGTTTGCTTGATCAGACATTAAATGTTTATGCTGAAATATAATATTGGTTTTTGTTTTAAAATCATCTATCATGCGGCATTTTGTAGGGAACTGTCTCGTGTGATTTAAAGTTTTGAGGTTCAGAACTTCTGATAAGGGAAAATAGTGAGTTTTAGGGAGTGAATGTTTCAGTGTACTGTAAGGATTTTGTGATTAAGACAGCCCTAAAAGGGATAGTTCACTTTGAAATTAATTTTTGGTATGTTTTAGCTTACCTCAAGTGCATCCAAGATGTAGGTGTCTTTGTTTCCGCAGTAGTTTAAATTTTTATATTTTTAGGTCATTTTTAGTTGCAGGTCTATGGTCACCACCTAATAGAGCATGCACAGAGAAGTCCAAATGAAACATGATTTAATGACTCGTAAATATAAATACACATTGATGGCCTAAGACACGGAACAAGCGGATTGTGTGAGAAAACGAACAGTATTTATATCATTTTTACCTCTTGTTACCACAGCCACGTCCAAGTGATGTGAAGGCGCAGGCTCTTCGGTCTGCGCAAGCGCCGGAAAGCGCGAAAAGTGATCTCTAATTGTTTACACAGAGACTTCGTAAGCGTTACCCTTCACTGTGAAGATCTAAACATATTTAGATATAGAGGAAATCGCAATGGAAGACGATTTCGATATATCAACATACAACGTTGAATAAGTACCATTTCAATTAGCCGTCTTACCTACAATCTCTGTTCTGTGTAAACAAGTGACGTACACGCGCGAGAGATCACTTCCGGCACTTTCCGACACTTTCGCAGACCGACGAGCCCACGCCCTCAGATCACTTGGACGTGGCTGTGGTTACAAGAGACAAAAACGATATAAATACTGTTAGTTTTCTCACACAAACCGCTCGTTTCGTGTCTTAGGCCATCAATGTGTACTTACATTTACGAGTCATTAATTTGGACTTCTCTGTGCATGCTCTTTGAGGTGGTGACCAGAGACCTGCATTATATGCCTGACCGACAAGAACGGTTTGACCTAAAAATATAGAAATTGAAAATACTGTGGATGCAAAGACACCTAGGCTACATCTTGGATGCCCTCGAGGTAAGCTAAAACATACCAAACATTTATTTCAAAAATGAACTATCCCTTTAACCACTGACTACTGAGCTTAGGGACCTGAGTGATAAGCACCCAGAGTTTAGCACCTTGATTAGCTTGTTCAGGTGTGCTGGACTAGGTTTGAGCAAAACTTTGTTCTGAACATGACACATCAGAGATGCAGGATGACTGCTAGCTAGATTGATGACTTACAACAGTGGCATCCAGACCAGACCAGGGCTCTGCAGAGTTTCTGGTGATGTTTAGTCAGCTGCTCAGGTCTGATTAATTGGGGTTGGAGCTAACAATACTGAAAAGAGAAAGAAGACAACTTATATTATTAAGTTACATTATAAATAATTGGGGTTGGAGCTAACAATACTGAAAAGAGAAAGACAAACAATATTATTACGTTATAAATAATTTGTTCTGTGTTCATTACGTTACCTGTACAAAGTATACGTCATCAATAAACTGTAATAACACTGTTTTGACGATTAGCTAGCTTAATTCCATTCATCCATTGACCAATTGCCAACAAAACCTTTACAAAACTATCAAAATATCTAATCTACACATACAGTAAGATACGATTAAAAGCCCAAACTTACTGCTCAAGTCTAGTTAACCTAACTTACCTCTAGTTAGCCTAACAGTTGAGATGCTAACAGACTTTTTCTAAGACACACTAAGTAAATATTCAACGGAAGCGAGTCTTTTACATAAAAGAAAGTGTCGGAAACATTTTTATGTACTATTTGTGTAATTTTAGGGACTAAACTTACCTGAAAGTAGTGAAAACAACAGCGAGAGGTGGAGCTGTGCTGCTTGTTGTCAGTTGAGCTACCGCCCGGTTTCCATGGTAACGCTGTCCGCTCCAGTTCAAATGCGGCTCGAATGTTCAGCGCGTGCGCCCATTGATTAAAACACGTAGAGTTACGCAGCATATAGAATAGATGGAGTGAATTATTTGATAATCAGCTGAAACTTGATACATTATTAAGTGGATAGTAGGCCTGTGGCCATTGTCAAACTATGGAATGATCATATGAAGCCCATAGGCAGTATCCTATTGAAAATGTAAAACAATGTTTGAAGTCATGTAGGCTAATAGTCTAATAATATAATATAGCTTTAAAAAATGGTAAACGTGTGGTGTAGATTTTTTTTGTTGCAAAAACATTGATTAAAACCTACATAAGGCATGCACATATTTCCTCATACTGTAGCCTACACAGATTACAGATAAAACATGAGGAACAATTATAAACTATTCTATTTTTTAAATACATTCAAATCCGCAAGCCAAGCGTTCTTATGGTTTGGAGGAAAATGCTTAATGTGTAGGCTAATTAAACGCGTTGCATTCATATTCTGGGCTCATCTGATTTTTTGTACACAGCCTTTATTATGATTTTAGGCCTATCATAACGATTAATACACGCACAATTATCCGTGAAAATGTTGCAGATATGTTTTACTATGCACAAAAAATGCCTTTCAACTTACACAACTCAGCATGTCTCAAAGACATGAGACATATCTATAGAGAGCTGGAAACATCTTTAAACAAAACAATTCAAAACGAAAAAAAAAATAGGTACAAAGTCTTTTGGGCTAAATTTGGACCAAATCAAACGGACCCAATAGAGACCAGTTTTCAACGTCTATTTTCGGGCTAAATTTTGACCAAACCAGACGGACCAAACAAAGCCCAATTTTCAACGTCTATTTTTGGGCTAAATTTGGACCAAATCGGACGGACCAAACAAAGCCCAATTTTCAACGTCTATTTTTGGGCTAAATGAAGGCTATGACGGGCCGACTTGATTTAGCCCAAAAAACAACGTCTTAATGACGTCTGGTGCTGGGTGGGTATAGTGATTTTAGTCTTTAAAACAGGGTCCAAATGATTCCAGAGGGAATTCCCTCTGTATTTCAGTGTAGATTGATTAGCTGTAGTTCTACAAAAGGCAAGATACAAATCTTTACAACGCCTAGTGGAATAGGCATGAACATCCGAAGACTACATGAAAAAATGATTGAAAGCTCTGGAAATAATATTTGTCATATTCACACATACTTATACATAAAAATATGTATGCAATATATGTTAACATTAAATATGGTCAAGATGTTATATTTTATAAATGTCTTCAAGATGTTATATTTTATGGCAAATCGCGCGTCCCTTGGCTGTCGTTGCAACACTATCTCACGACCAAATCGTACGAATTCGACGAATGATTAAAAAGTGGCTAATTCGTAACAATTCACTCGTACGAAGTAATACGATTTTGCTAAATCGTACATATTTTACGAATTGGCCAATTCGTATGAATTCGTACGAATGACCTACCCCTGACCCCGCCCCTAAACCTAACCATCACGTGGGTTTAGACAAATCGTACAAATTAGTACGAGTGAGGTCGTACGAATTAGTACGAATTAGACACTTTTTAATCATGCGTCGAATTCGTACGAATTTCAGACGCCTGACCGCGTCTGTCGCGACAACGTTGCTTCCATTATCATAACGTACAATTAAAATGACAAACTTGAGTGCGCAAAAGAGGCGATCTGTGAACGGGCCCTATTCTTTGTCTTACCAAGTCATGGTGTTCATGTGAACAATGAGCCTCGTCAACTCTCCTCGCAAGGGTGTCGAAGTCCAGTGACATGATATCACTGCCAGATTCAAACTGTGCGCTCGCTGGCGCTGAGCTGTAAAAACTAATCTATAGAATTTACCCAAAAAATGTGAGGTAACAATTTGCATCGACTTTGGTGGGGTAAATTTAATCCATATTAGTGAGTATAAACTATCTGAAGTAAAAAGCTATTAAATACTTGCATAAATTGGGTAACAATTACCTCCATTTATCAACAGCTACTTACTCATTAAAATTAGGTAAAAATTATCTATTCAAATCAAAGCTAATTACTTATTCAGAGAAGGTAAAATATACCCCCCACAATAAAGACATTCACATGGTTCATCAGATCAATGTTTTTAATCCAAAAATTCATATGAAACACTCAAAATACAGTGCAGCACAATAACTTTACACAACATTTCAAGTAATGAACATGTTAACTCACTGGACTATCAAATGTTGTTTCAATAATGTTGGATAATAAAACATTGCTGTTTTAGGAGGAGGAGAGAGTAGAAAATGAAACTAGAAGCGAGGAGATCAGAGCAGTACTGGAAGAAGTCCAATCACATTTTGTTGCATCTAAACTCTGTGATTCCATTACTTGGTTTCCCTCGATCACAATAGACAAATCTGGATCCTCCTCAGCCATGACATTGTGCTTCACAATCACCTTCATGTTTTTGTCTGTGTAGTCCTCACATTCCTACATGTAAAAAACAAACAAAAAGCATGCACATTTTTATTTAATGTAAGATGCTGTTTCAATATATTTCAGTTTATCTAAAAGGAGAGCAGAGGGGGAGTGGAAGGCAAAAGGAGAAGGTGGATACAAGAAGAGAGGAAGATCCTTTGAGTTAATCAAAAATCTGTTATGAATATGACATACCTGGTAGTAATGGAAAAGATCTTCTTGATTTTCACCAAGGTAGTCTTGTCTTTAATGAGGCAGCAGACAACAGCATCTCATGTTTCTTAATGTTCTGTGTCTGTAGGGAGATACAATTTAGTGATGTTAGAATGTCAGCGAAGTGGGGAGTGATTTACATATACTAAGACCGAATTACGGCCCTGCAACAGACTGGCGACCTATCCAGAATGAAAACTGCCCCTTCACCTGATAAATGCTGGGTTTTAAAAAATCTTGTGACCCGAACGGACAAAGCAGTAAAGAAAATAGATGGATAAGACCGAATTCACACATTGATGTTAAAAGGTTTAAGTTGGTAAGGAGCTCAACTTTGCGCACAACAAATCAATTGTTTACAAATTACTTTAGTTTTAATTCACTCATATCAACAATTACATATTTGTGAAAAAATAAAATTACATGCGTCATTTAAAGTGTCCAGCAGAGGACACATCTTGCAACCAGCTACTTCTCCTTTGGCGCGCATTAGCCGCAAAAGACCTCGTGAGTACTCATCAAGCTTCCGTGTGAATGTCTCTTCCAAGGAATATGTTGTGATGCGTCTAAACTCCTCCTTGATCTAGGAAGTTAAATGACCAAAATTTACATTTTAAATTAAAGACCAGCTCTCATAGTATTCACATGAATGTATACTAGTGGTAAGTAAAAATTACAAGAAATTCTCACCTGAGCTTCAGTGAATAATGCTGGCCACTTTAGAATAAACACACCCACAGAGGGGCTGAGGCTGACCACTTCAATTTCTTTGATCCGTTTTCACTTCTGTTGACACTGTAGGCTATCAACTGTAAATTAAAAAAAGAAACATTTCAGTAAACATCATATTAAAAAAAAAAAAAAACATAAATATAACAGCTATAGATGGCAGGTGCATTCTGAGGGTTAGGTAGCATGTTAGCTTAGCACACATCAATACACTACAATTTATGAGATTATAAAACCATGTTTTTGCTCCAAAATTACTTTATAATGCATGTCGATTGCTTTAAATAACCTTCTGTGATCTGACTTGGCTTCGGATAAAAAAACGGACATAAAATATTGTATTTTATAGTATTCTGGACTATCAAGATTATATCGATTAACATTAACTTACATTATAAATGTAATATATTATGAAGTTATCTGCATGGCTTGAAGAACACAAATAATGCGTCATATATCGTTGCAATCATGTTATCTGCAAGTATTTAGCGATCTTTGGAAACTTTGTTGTGGTTTCAGGTGTCACAGGTCATGTGGCTCTTCTTCGTGATATATTATGTAGTAGCGTTATAAATTATGTGCACACGACGCCCGCCGGCTGCCAGTGTGTATTGAAAACACACTACATCCGAGGAGTATCCAGCGCTATGATTACATCGGCCCATTTTGGTGTATTCAATAAATATAATTCCTCTAACGTTATACAGAAATCTGACAGAAACCTATGATAATCAATAAATATTTCTCAGAATCTGCATATTTTTGAGCTGAAAGCACTTTTTGGTCGAGCTCTGTCATGACGACGACAGAGGTATTTATGAATTGGAGCGGATGAATGACGCACATAATTCATATTAAAAACGCCATCGACTGTTTTTTATTGCATACTCCTGAAATTAATTAATATGGTCACTATAAGTTTCTCAGAAACAGTGGTCAAATACTGAAACCTGAGTCGTATATATGTTTAATAATGTATAATTTGTCAAGGTAATCACATTAAATCTGATAGCCTAGTAACTTTGAAATCTGTGCCCAAAGGCCGACCGTCGGCTTGATGTGTTCCGCCATGGTGACGCCATCGACAGATTCAAACTTTAATTTCAAGTAATGACATGTTAAACAAACGAAAGCCCAATAAAAGCGAAGTGTAATGTCTCATAATTAAAAATATATATTCACTCCTATGTTAATAGCTTACCTTCACTTCTGCTGTTCGATGGCAGCCAGAGAGAGGATCCAGCGTCGCCCACACTCACTCAAAAAGAAACCGCGGGCCTACGCATGCGCAATTTAAAGCAAATGTTACGTGGGTGCTTAGACAGACCACAACGTACTAGAACATTTTCATAGATACTTCTTTTATTATCAAAAACTCTAAGATCAGGTTTTAAAATCCATCCACTTCAGGAAAAGCAAACAACATAACTTCTTTAAAGGAAGAAAACCAAAGAAAACTCAAAATAAATCCACTCTACATAATCAAATCAATCCAAAAAAATATAGGACAAATTAAATCAAAACCGAGGCAATCTGTTCACAACACACCAAAATAAATCAATTCACATATCATAATACAAAAAATAATATACACGTTTAAATGAATAAACACTTCATACCTTTAAACCCATACTTTCATACTCCGGCCGCTCTGGTTACCGGGGTTACCGGGGTTCCCGGGAGCGCTCGACGTCTACAAACACACACACACTTAAAACACCTGCACACTATCACCCGAAACCCCCCACTATCCTATCCTACTCACCCAATTCTTTCTCAGCGCCGTGTTTGTGTGGCGTCTTCCCTGCATGAGTTTGGTGCATCACTTAAATAAGTCCGTGTTTGTCCCCCTTAAATATGTGCAGTTCCTCCCCCCACCCCGGTTAACCAGAGCTCAATCCCACATCCACCCCTCACTTGTCAAATCATCGTCCCGATGATTCATTATGTGCATTTTTTAACAACATTCAAAAAAACAACATTAACCACTGCTCCTGATTCTTTTTAGTTCATGCATCACTTGCAGCAAAAGATCTAAAACTGTCTCAATTGCCCCAATTTCACTAGACGGGGGTCTTACGCCACAACTTAGCACTGTGGGGCTTGCTGCAGCTTCCATACCCTGCACCGATCGTGGCTCCCTAAAGGGATTACTATGCTGTCCTGCTCTGGTCCTCTGAGAGCGTCGAACAGTAGAGTCTGTGCTAGTGAATATCGATTTCTCATCATCTCTGGAAACCACCTCCTCTGCACTCACTTCCCTTTCCACTCCAGAAGACAGGTTTTCTTGTACCACCAGTCGAAGCTCTTCCCAATCCTCCTCAGACTCAGACGGTGCCGTGCTTGTGCCGGAGTCTATCCCTTGATACTCTCTTGACCGTACAGGCTCCTTCTGCAGAGGTCCGCAACGACGTAGCTCCGACCGATGCACATTCTTTGGTAGACGTGATTGATCCACAGGAACTACCTTATACACCGCTTTATCTGGGTCCACTCTTTCCAGCACACAGTGAGGTAAATCCTCCCAAACATCCTGAATTTTATTCCTTCCTCTAACTCTGCGATTACGCAGATAAACCAAATCTCCTGGATTCAGACTGGCATCTTTGCTCACTCCTTGTTTCCTTTGTCTCTGCTTGGCCAATTTCTGCAACCGTCTCTGTGTCAGCCTATAAGCCTGTTGCAGTTTGTGCTGATGTTCAATCACCCAGGTCTCCACCATGCCTTCTTTTTTTTCTACTGTACCACCCCTCAAATAATGGTCAATTGGGAGATCTGGGCTCCTGCCAAACATTAAAAAGAATGGGGAAAATCCAGTCGTAGCATTTTCAGTAGTATTATATGCAAACAACACTTCATGCAAATACTCATCCCATCTCTTTTTCTTTTCAGAAGGAAGGGCCCTGAGGAGATCATGTAAAGTTCTATTAAAACGTTCACACTGCCCATTGCCTTGGGGGTGAAATGCTGTTGTCCTGCTCTTCTGTATGCCATACATACGACACAACTGCTGCACGACTTCAGCCTCGAAGCACCGTCCTTGGTCAGAATGAATCCGGGCTGGGACTCCATATCGATGAATCCACTCCTTGACCAGCACTTTTGCAACTGTTATGGCCCTCTGATCAACTGTCGGTACGGCTACTGTGAATTTAGAAAATACATCCGTTATGACAAGCACATTTTCTTTTCCACTCTGGGAACGTTCCAGCAACGTAAAATCCAATGCCACAACCTCCAAGGGTTTAGATGTTTGAATGCTGTTCATCGCTGTTTTTACCTTAGGCTGAACATCCTTCGACACAATACATCGCAGACAATGTTTGCAGAACTCCTGAACATCCTGGTACATCCCAGGCCAGTAAAACCGTTGACGTACCAGCTTGAATGTTCGGTCAATCCCCTGATGACCTTGATGGTCATGCAGCTGACAAAGGACTTCCTGCTTTAAAACTTGAGGCAAGAGAAGCTGTTTTACCCAGCCCCCTCTAGCATCTGCAATGACTCTATAAAAGACACCTTCATGAGCTTCCACTTTATCCCACTGTCTTAACAGCTCCAGAACATCTTTTGACTCCTCTTTTCTTTCTTTCTTGTCTGGCCCTTCCCCCTTACTCCAGTAGAACTTGAGCCGGGAAATAACAGGATCCTCTTCTTGCCAGTTTTGTAGATCTTGCATCTGAAATTCAGGGAAAACGGAAATAACATCCACTGTAGTTAAAGATTGCGGTAGAATACTCCCATTGTCTCCATCCTCCAGTCCACTACCACCATTGAATGTGGACGTCACTCTCTCTGATACAGCCAGCTGTAGTCCTCCTACCGACTTTTGTCGAGACAAAGCGTCTGCATTTCCATTCTTCTTCCCAGGACGGTACACAATTTCAAAATCAAACATGGCCAACTGAGAAGCCCATCGCTGCTCCACAGCCCCCAATTTGGCCGTCTTCAAATGACTCAGAGGGTTATTATCTGTGAACACTGTAAACTTATTACCAATCAAATAGTCCCGAAATTTCTCCGTTACTGCCCATTTAAGGGCAAGAAACTCCAGCTTCATTGTACTGTAGTTATCCATATTACGTTCAGACTCCCTCAAACCCCTACTAGCATAGGCCACTGGCCTCCGCTTACCTCCCACATCCTGGGAGATCACCGCTCCGAGTCCTGTATGACTGGCGTCTATTTCAAGAAAAAAAGGCTTTGTGAAATCAGCATAAGCTAATACAGGAGCAGATGTTAACTTCCTTTTTAGTATTTGAAAAGCTTCTTCACATTTGTCATCCTACTGCTGTCTGAATTGTTCACCAGTGAAATGTCTTCTTTTCTTTTGCTTCTTACCCTTTGGCATTTCCCCGATAGCTGCCAGCTGATGTAATGGTGCTGCAATTCTAGCGAATCCTTGCACAAAACGTCTGTAATAACTTGCAAATCCCAAGAAAGAGCGAAGCTCTTTTGCTGTCTGTGGTCTCGCCCATTCTGCTACTGCTTGAATCTTCTCAGGGTCTGTTGCCACCCCCTCACTAGAAATGACATGACCCAAATAACGTACTTCTTGTTGAAAAAAACAGCATTTACTGAGCTTAACTTTGAGACCATGGTGCTGAAATCGTTGTAAGACTTTCTCCAATCTCTCCAGATGTTGGTCCACTGTTGACGAAAACACAATCACATCATCCAAATACAAGAGCACTGACTGAAAACTTTCATCACTGAATATCCGTTCCATCAGACGTTGGAAAGTACTTGGCCCATTGGACAAACCATATGGTAAACGGTTATATTCAAACAGGCCAAACGGCGTACAAAAAGCAGTCTTTTGTTTATCCTTTTCTGCCACTGCCACTTGATTGTATCCGCTTGCCAGGTCCAGGGTGGAAAACCAACACGCTCCACTCAATGCATCTAATGATTCTTCAATTCTCGGCAGTGGGTATGAATCTCTTCTAGTTTTAGCATTCAACTGCCTATAATCCACACACATCCGGATTGAGCCATCCTTCTTCTTTACGATTACAATCGGTGAGGAATATGGGCTGCAGCTCTCCCTGATTACATTCTGCTCTAAAAGTGATTTAATATGAGCTTTAACCTCCTCATATTGAGTAGGGGGCAACCTTCTATACCTCTGGCAAACTGGAGCGTCGTCTAACAATGGGATGGGATGTTCAATCAAATCAGTATACCCTACATCCTCACTCCCTTCAACAAACACAGAGGAATATTTATCCAACAACCTCCTGGCCTTTCCTTCCTGCTCCACATTCAACAGAGGAAAATTAAGGGTCTGAACTTGTTGAGCGGCTGTTACCCCTGACTGTGACACATTACTTTGCTCAATAAAAACTGTACAATTTTGTTCTTCCTGTACTGGAGTAAACTGAATATCAAAATCCCCCCCACTGACCACCACTTCGGCCCTGTGTACAGACGCTAATCGAACATGTGGGTACAAAATAACATCACTAGTCCCCACATTCATAATTGGGACCAGCAATTGTCCTTTATCTGGGGACACTATTGCACCTATAATAAAAAGGTCAGCTGGTAAACTCCCCTCACTCTCTATCAGAGGCTCCAAAAGCAAGGACTCATTTGGCATGAGTTTAGTGTACCCACTCGCTGCACAAACCAATTGAAGCGTACCTGCTGGCACCTTGACTGGATTTTGTGCCAACAGGTTCACAAAAGACTGGTTTTGTGTATCGTACAATTGACAGATTTCCAACGCTTTTTTCAAAGAAGCCTTACATTGCTGCATCATAG